ATATTGTTTTCAAAAAGTATAATGTTTGTCAAGTTAATTTGTACCTAATATAATAGAAAATTAGAACTAATGAGTTTTTTTTTATTAAATTATAAAGTTGGAAAAATTGTTTTTCCGATGCACATCTTTTATGTAAAAAAGAGTCAAAAAGTGAAAATGGTGCGATTGTATTTGGCAAATATTATATTTTAATTAAATTTTCAATATTTTTTTCAATAATAATAACGTAAGCACACATTCAATTAATATAATTTATAATAGTTAAAATTAAAAAAATATAAATTGACAACATACAAAACAGACAATATTTTTGTATTTTTTTTATTAAGAAATATTTACGTACATGAAATTCACATTTGCAAAAACTATTGGAAAGCATAATTTAATGCGATAAATGCGATTAACAACATTAATTACATTAATACTTGTTTTCATGCTAAGGAACTAAACATTTTCAGACAAATTACAGGTAGATATTCTCACTCCTCAACTCCTCTGTCAATAATAGCACTTTGAAAAGAGTAACAGAAGTGAAGCATCTCGGAGTGAACACGTCAATACCGTCATATCATCATACTTTCAATTATAATTATTAATAGATAAGTAAAGATTTTCAACAGGGCTCACGCTTATCTTAGCCTGTATCGCGCGTACCGAAAGTTAACAGATAAAATTTTTGAAATAACTTTACTTCCAACAAAATTTTAAGTGACCGTGTGATATTAGTAAGAATTCCATTTAATGTAGGACCTCGACAATGTCTATATTTATTATTATTCTCTTTAGAAACGCCAATAGTGAAAAAAAACCTCTTCTGTTTCGCAAACTGAGAGGCTGCAAACATTCACTGCTTAGACCTACTTGTTCACTGCTATACTTTTGGATCGACACTCGTTATCTAATTCGCAATGTTTTTTTACTTTTACTTTACTTTAAACTACTACAAAATAAATTAATAAATAAATAGAATGATTCCATTTTCTATTTATTAATAAATAGAGTAAAACTTAAACAAACACTTTTTCTTTACCTTCTCTATATACAATAATAATAAAGTTTAAGTGAGACAGAACTCTCTCAATAAACCGGGTTTCCATCCACTTAAGATTGTTCTCATTAGCATAAAACAGGTTATAAGGCTCTCCATTTTAGAGATGGGGCCGCTCCCTATCATTATCCGAATACCCTGTACCTTCGCATGCACCAGGCGTGCCAGTAAATATCTGAATTGGGTTTTCACCCACCGAATACAAGAAAATTTTGGAGAAAAATTACGCTCTCTGCTGGCCATTTCAGAACCTCAAAAGTAATTTCCAGCATTTTCTCTTATTGGCACACATTTATCTAAATGTTTATACGCACAGTCTGTTAGTTAATTTAACTATTTCGTGCGTCGAGTGGGGCCGTACAATTTTCGGTCATTACCTCATAAAAATTAGTTTAATACGCATCGGCAAACAAATAAAGCGCCTAAACGTGACGTATACAATAATAATCTTTGAGGTCGCGCCGCATGAACACACGGTATACATCAACAAATCATTGACATTGAAGCAGAGTGACTCATGGTTTCAGACAAGTTCGAATTGCGTAACCAGCTGGAACCACTTTCTCGTTGCCGAAGACTTATAAAGCACCGCGTCTGCAACAACCGTTTTGTTGAATGAAACAAAAAAGTCCGAGGCTTTGGGTTCGCGCTCCGGGACTCCGGTCGTCGTTACTGCCGCTTTTACTCGGTGGCCGATTCGAAATGCCTTAAAAGTTGTTTGTTTTCGATTAGGTACTATAAAGACCTTGCCCGCTGTTAATGGCAATAGAGGCAAACAATAGGTCAAGTTATGAATAATTGTAAGGTCGTTTTAGTTATGCGGATGCGGCCTGGAAGAAAATGTTCGCAATTAAAAAACGCCCGATGCGCTTAATTTGCATGAAATTGTTTTAATTGTTGAGTAATTCGGTTTTAAGCAGTTTACGGCTCAAATATATATGATTGTGCAACAATTATTTTGGCAAAAGAACACATTTCTGGGGCACTTAAAGATTTTGCATTTTAAAACATTTTCTGGCATCTCGCAAAGCGATGTGTTGTGTTCTTTTAACTTAAAAGATCAAAAAGAGAACTGGTTCGAATCTAAAACTTCCATCAAGCAGTTTACATGATCTTGAAAAAACCAATCTACTTTTAACAACAAGGGTGATCATTTTGAATCATTCACATAAATAGGGACTGTCTCTTACGACCAAACAATTTTTTTTTTTTGCGAAAATGTATCACTAATATTTTCCGGAAATTGGAATAGTCATAACAATCATTGAAACATAAAAACTGATGTTTGCTCTCAGTTCTTGGTTAGTGTCAGTTTTAATTTATAATTTTTTATGTTTCTAAAGGCTTTTAAAAAGTGAAAATAATTCTTTTTTATGATAACAATATCATACTTTTAGTGTGACATAAATATCTATTAAATTTTTCCAGCATTTCAGTTTAAAATCCCCATCTATGAAAATAAAAATAGAAAACAAGAACTGTTTTCACTAAATAGACTTTTCAAATCTTCCCGGCGTTTTTCCAGATATACTGCTTGGCTTCGTCAAGGAAACTCTGAACGAACCACCAGCTGCAAATGTTTGGCGAAACGCCAGCAAAAGAGAAGAAACTCTCTTTGGAAAATTAAAATGATAACTTTTGATTTGACCTCTAGGACACACAAAACCAACACGAATTCACGCAAAGTTAGCGAGAAGTTTTCCGACGTTCATTTAAAAAAGCACTGTTCATTCTAATTTACTGTCAATTGAATGTCAATAATTAAGGAGTCGATTTTTGGGTCTATTTTACAAAGAAAACTTCATATGAGCATGTGTCCTAAACGCCTCAACTTTTAAGATACGGGGTGGTTAAGTGTAAAAAAATAAACTATATTTTGTTAATACCTGTAATACCAGTTTACTTTTTTTTAAAATACGCCAATGGCGGGCGCACAGAATTTCACGTAGTCTATTTTGACAGGCATTGATGGTACGCCAGTGATTTCTCTTAAAATAAAAATTAAATTCTTACAACCTCCAATCATTTCTAAAGAAATTTAATTTTTAGATTTATTTCGCTTAAAAAAATAAGAACCTCTTCTCTGCATGGTCATAACAATATCGTTAATATGACAACAGGCAGAGAATTATTGTCACTGACGTAATTGTCTAACTGTTTTATTGAAATGCTTCAAAAGATTCAAGTACCAATACGAACTACTTCAACTCTAAGGTGTATTTCTTTTCATTGTAGTATTCTTAAGGCCGTTGTTTGACATCAGTTTTTAAATTCAGTTCTTCGCGTCTTATTAATTTGGTGTTTCAAATATCCGAACACTGTTATTTTAAAAAAGAATGGTCGAGTTTACTAATGACTAGTTGGCATATGCAGGCATTTTATGTATGGTTTGGCTGATGAAACAGATACTTTGAGGACAAATAATCATTTAAAAGTGATCCATTGGACTGTAAGAACCTCGGAAATCGAAGAAGCAATTTTAAATTCAAGTAATGAAAATCCTGAACTTGGTACAAGAAATATTGGAAATGATCTAAACGTCTGATTTGAAAAATGTTGCACGATTTCCTATTGTAACTATTGTTATTATCCCTTGTTTGACCAAGAAATAATATTTATAGATCAAGTTAACTTTTCCAGAAATGCTATCAGAAATTTCCACAATAACCATATTTGGGCCGATGAAATCCCCCATGCAGCTGAATAATTTAAACATCAACAACAGTTTTCGGTAAATTTTTAGACTGGAAATTACTTAATTGGATCCTTTTTCTTGCCAAAGAGGCTAAATGGCTCTAATAATGGCAGATTTTTAGAAAATGATTTGCCAATATTGCTAGAAAATATGGTTCATACATGACGGCGCGCCTACTTACTTTAGTGTAGCGGTAAGAGAATATATTTAAATCATACATTTAATAACCGATAGTCCGATAGTCCCCAGTTTGGACTTTTTCTTATGGGGGCCTCATAATATATATATATATATATATATATATATATATATATATATATATATATATATATATATATATATATATATATATATATATATATATATATATATATATATATATTCACGTATTGATTCACGGATGGAAATCTTTCCATAGAACATAATAATTAATAATTATTAATTATTAACAGACAATTTTGTTTAAAATTATTAATAGTAGGAAGTGTTTTTTTAATAAGAATCGTTTGTTATTTATCTTGTTGTGAGGATGCTATTTTATTTCATTAAATTTGTAAAAGTCTCCTAACTTGGTAACTAAAAACTAAATATTTTGTTTTAGATAGATATTTTATTTTTCACAAAAAAAGGAAGTCAGGAAGAAAGGAAGAAAAAAATAATGACATTTGCATTCATTTATGGGCCGATTTGATTTCTTATTAATTTGTTTTAGTCCGTCGTACGGTTTTCACTTAAAAATGAACAGTAATTTCTCTTCATGCTGTTATATTAACGATATTGTTATAACCATGCAGTAGAGAAGTTTAATTTTTTAGAAATAATTGGAGATATTAAGAATAATTTTAATTGGCGTACCATCGATATCTGCCAAAATAGACAGGTGAAATTCCGTATGTCCGCCACTGGTGAAAAAAATTACATAGTATACATAGTATACATAGTATATGTGTGGCAAATTCCATCAAAGTGTTATTAATTAAAAAATTAAGTTAAAAGTGGTATTTCAGATACTAAAAAAATATATTTTATTTTTGAAAACTTGGCAAAAGTTGAGACGCTTATGTTGATATGAAGTTTTCGTTTAAAAATTATATAACAGGAATATGTATCATTTATTTTATGAAGAATATTGCCGCACAGGAATATCAGTCAACTAGATTCTACCTATTGACTCTATCCTGATCCAATAATGGCAACAAGCTTTCATTAAGGACAAAATGAACATGCAAAATCAGCATATGGAAAACGACCACTTACCTTTTCAACGTCTGATGCTTGCCGCCATTGATAGCTAATCTGGGTTTCCCCTTGTCGGTGCTAGTGCTGGTGGGCGTCATAGAGCTATGACTGGCGGTAGCCGTGGTGTCGGATACAAAGCTACTAACGCTAGTCTCTTTGCTTATCGGCGTAGCATGCGCCTTGCCATTGCTTACGATCGGCTGTTGGTGAGTTGCAGAACTCAAGGTCAACTGGAGGTGACCCTTAGGCGGTATCGGTGGCGGTTTTTCTTCCACTGGGAGCATATAGGAGAGCATTTTGCCGGAGGAAGGTTATGGGAGCGAGGAGACGGACATGGGGATCATCTTATGACCCCGAACGGTGGAGGAGCTGCAACAAAAACATTTTATGAAATTATAAACAACATATCAAGTTATAAAATTGTACCATAAAGACAAACCCTCAAATTCTACAGCAAAATTCATTTCTACGATTTAATGTAGAGTGTATAGTATAATATTTAACGTAACTATTAGAGTATTCAATTGGCAATTTATGACAGTGAATAATGACTCGGTTATTAGAGACAGCAACAAGTGCAGCAAGACCAAGTGTTTATCATGTGGGTCTAGAGTAAGTAGATACATGATTACATTTATAATAGGACTTTCTGATAGGAAATTTCGAAAAATACTTTTTTAATAAATTATATTATATTAATTTTTTTTCAAAGAAATTTTCACGTGCAACTGTAATACTTTTTATAAAACTTCTGGATTCCTCCTGCGTCGGTTTTGTTAGCTTCTTCAGAGCTTGACTGGCTCGCATTTTACTCTATACATGCTTTTATATTGTTTGAGGGGGCGGAGCTAAATGAAGAGCATACACACCGTCTCGGATGACTGATTCACTGACTGAGTCACGATTAAGATTGCTAGGTTGCTTATAGATTTCTATAGACTCTTGGATTTTTCGTTTTTAGAAGAATTGATTACACGCAAGAATTTTAGTTTTATCGAATGAAATTTTACGTCCGGTTTGATGGTTGTGTTCAGCATCTGCTGATGAATTTATTTATCTTAGTCTTAACGCTCTTTCATGTTCTTTGAATCTAGTTGATATTTTTCGTCTCGTCTCTCCAATGTATTCTTTGCCGCATATGCATGGAATGCTGTAAACTCCTGGCATCTCAAATGGGATTTTGTCTTTGACGGATCGAAGACGTTGAGAGATTTTTGGATAATTTGATATGTGGTCAGTGATGTTTTGAATATAAGGAATTACAACAGTGGCAAGTGTGGGATTGTGTTCAGTTTCATTGCTATTGGAAGGTTGTGGCGAAGTGTATCTTGTGATGGAACGCTTAATATCTTTAATGTGGAAATTATTAGAGAGAAGAGCAGAGGTAAGGTGTTTTAATTCTGGGTTCAATGGCTTGGACTGAGACAATTTTACGGCTCTGTAAACAAGAGAGTTGATAACCGATGATTTTTGGGCCGGATGGTGATGTGACAATGCAGTGTCTGTATGTTAGATCTGCTTTTCTATTGATAAGAATATCTAAGAATGGGAGGTTGTTATTAGTTTCTATTTCAATGGTACAACATATGTTGGGGTGTATAGCGCTTGAATGTCTAAGAAAATCTTGATAATCGAATCCAGAAGTTTTATAAAAAGAATTATATTATATTATTTACTAATGAAAATTTCAAACTTCCGCGCGCGCTTTTGACAACCAAAATACCGTTTCAGGAGATGAAACTGTGACAACTTTGATTTAACGTTTGTTAATAATAATAATAATAATAATAATAATAATAATAATAATAATAATAATAATAATAATAATAATAATAATAATAATAATTAATAACATAATAAAAATAAGTATTTTAAGTAATATTTTAATCATTTTTACGTCCATGTGGATCCTTACTTATGTAACGGACAATATAAAAGGATTAAAATTGACATAAAATGGGGAGCCTTGGCTTAAAGTTAATTAAATATTTGCATTAATATCAATTTTAATCAGTAATATGAGAAAAACTAATTTTCCATTATTTTTAATTCAAAATTCAATTGGTGTTTCGTTTTTTTCTATAGTTCCTTTTAACTTTAAACGCAGCTTATTTTTTAGCAATTTTATTTAAGGTATCGGATATTTTGACATTTAAATTCTGATTTAAAACAAACTCTGAATGGATAGCATCTTAGTTCTCCAAACGTATTTTAAAAATTTCTGTTTCCTCTGTTGACTGAGAGAAGGCTAGTTCAATCCCCATTATTCAAAATCTACCACTATCAAGCCATTATTTCTTGTATAAATTTTATCATACTTCTTCTAAGAACTAAGAACCATTTTAACAATCTTAAAAAATGAACATATCATTTTTTGTTGCTGGACAAGTCTTTTTTACCTTTAAAATTTCAAATGTAGAAGATTTGCTGATGTTTTATGTTTCTTCCTAATATGTAACTGGTTTGCAAAAGGTTTTCCTTTTTTTATCATTTTCAAATTTTAGTGCTTTGAAATGTAGAAATATCATGCATGGGAGATAGCTCCAGCACATTGCAAATGCAATGCAAATTAAAAATTTAAAAAGGAAAATTAAATTATAAATTGAATCAAAATAGTATTTAAAAGTATCCGGTTGAAAGTTGCTTCCAAAAAAGCCAAACTAACCAAAACAGGACATTAAACTAAAACTGGGATTGTTTTGATAACTCCAAATCAAATTTGACCTATTAAACTTAACTTATATCCTTCTCAAAAGTTTAAAAGTAAAAAAAATTCTCAATTTCAATGTTGCGCACAAACTTTTTTGAAATCATGACAGAAAAAATACAACGTCGAAATCTTATTAAAAATAATCTGTAAGCCGATTAGATTGGTTTTCACTTGTAAATTGGATACCGAATCCTAGCAAGTGTGTTGCCATTTTTCCTGTGTCGCCATTAAAATGTCACGAAATTATGGTCGATTCATTTCGTTTGTGTTTTGCACCTCGCATATTATTCGTCTCATTAAAAACGTAAACAAGTCGATTCACCAAGCGTAATAAAAATAACATCACTTTCCATTCATTTACTTTGATATTGTTTCAAAGCAAACAGGCCACTGTTTATTTTATCGTTAAAAAAATCTCATCTGTAGTATTTCTGTTTTGTTTATTTGACCCACATTGGGATTTCGATATAGGAAATATATTATGCACCATTATCGTGAGACTAACCGTAATGCCGACTGGTGAAATTGTATTTCCTATTTTAGAATGCCATAATAAGCTAACTGTTACACGTGTGTGAAATTGGTGATAAATTAAGGACATTTGCACTATTTTTTTGTAATGAAAAATAGTTCTTAAAATGGTTCTTTTTTAGAATAAAGATGAAAGTAACAAAAAATTAATATTTAAAAATTGGTATGACACAATAGCCTCAGATGTTTTTGAAATAAGGTGAAATATTTATAAAGATTTGAACATATTTTTATATATGTAATCCATTATAGTCAATAAAAAATAAATGTTAGTAAACCATTTTTATTTGACTCTTACTTGACTTGTTATCCTACATAAGCGGCATAGGAGCTTGCACTCTCAAATTTCTTGGTCAAAAGTGAGCCGCTGCTTCGATATGAGGAAGATATAAGGTAAAATATAACGTCACTTCTACCAGTAAAAATAAAATAAACATTTCTATAAAATAAACTGAAATATCATTCAATAAAAGAAGAAATAAGAAGTAATAATATAATAATAATAATAATTATATACTTTATTCAGGTAATTTCGACAAGGAAAATTACAAGAAAAGGCGCAGTGCAGCGCCTAGACGTATCTGCTTGCTGATTTCTACACTTATCCTTACACATAACATCACACCATGGTTTTAATTAATGTTTACAATTGCGTTAAGTACCCACTTAATTATATAACAGAAAGAAAAACCTAAACCTACCTCTGTAAATAAAAATATATATTAACTAAAGTCGAAGCTAAAGTACTGTAAGTACAACAAATTTTTAAAGAATTCTAGGCAGTGCACATTGGTTTGATTCTTCCTGCGTTCTGTAACTTCTCAATGTTTTTTTCCATTTTTTTCTTTAAATTCTAGAGCATAACCACGTTTTTAGTTTATTTGGAAAATAATTTATTGTCGCATTCTGAACGGAATGGCAGGTCATTATATAGTTTAGGCAAGTCGTAACTGAAGGACCTTTCAAATATACCAGATCGGTGACGAGGAACTATATTAATTAAATAAATAAAAAATGAAAATCTAAAAATACAATACAGACGAAATGAAAAAAAAAGGGCAAAGTTTTATAATCCTTTAATAAAAATATTTACAAAAATGTTTCTATTCGACGAAAATTTGAGTCATTAGCTTTACATAATAGTTGAAAAATAAGAAAGAAAAATAAAGACAACGTGCATCGATACTTAAAATAACAAAGGCAAAGTTTAAACGCACATACAACTTCAAAGAAAATTAATAAACATTTTTTAAAATGGCATACGAGCCCAGACGCATATGAATTCGTGAATGAATATCAGAACTAATTTTTACTTATTTAAAAAAACCCAGGGGTGAATAAGGGTTTACGGCAAGGCTGCTGCATATCACCTACATTATTTAAGATCTACGTGGCAAAGGCTCTAAGGCACTGGAAGAGGAAGTGCAACGGTATGGGCATCGACCTTGGGGGTACATGTTTGTATACCCTACAATTTGCGGATGATCGGGTTATCATGGTCAATGATAAAGAAGATCTAGAGTACATGACGAGAAAATTGCAAGGAGAGTATAAATAATGAGGCTTGGAGATCAACACGCAAAAAACCAAATACCTACCGATTGGCGCAGAACTATCTACTGTACAACTAGAAAATGGGGAGATACAGCATTGCAGTGAATATACTTACCTGGGAGTGATATTTGATACAACTGACAAAGACGACGAGGATATCAAAAAACGAATAACTCAAGCTAGACGAATAGTTGGCTGTCTGAATGGAATATTTTGGAGTACGGAGTACTGGTAAAAAGCAGTCTACTATACGGCACAGAAACGTGGAGGATAAGGGGGGCCAATCGAAGGAGAATGATAGCAGACTTCCGAAGAAAGTAATGGAGGGAATAACCAAAGCCAATGTAAATGGACACATGTAATTTTGCACGAGTTTCAAAAGACGCTTGTTTAACAACGTTCAAAAACAATGGATATGGGTTCTAGAAAGCAAGTTAAATAACAAAGAGAAGTCGAACGCACAACAAGAATACGACATTTTTATTTTAGGGGAAGGAAAAGCCACTTCTTTCTGTAAAACGAAAACGTCATCGACTTTTATGGGCAAGGGAGCGTAAAACCTGGTTACCACTAC